TTGAATGTCTCCAGTGAGGGAGACTCCACAACCTCCCTGGGCAGTCTGTTCCAGTGCTCTGTCACTCTTACAGTAAAAAAATTTTTTCGGATATTCACCTTGAACCTCCTATGCTCCAATTTACACCCATTACCCCTTGTCCTATCACTGGTCATCACCGAGAAAAGCCTAACTCCGTCCCCCTGACACTCACCCCTTACATATTTGTAAACATTGATGAGGTCACCCCTCAGTCTCCTTTTCTCCAAGCTAAAGAGACCCAGCTCCCTCAGCCTTTCCTCATAAGGGAGATGTTCCACTCCCCTAATCATCTTCGTAGCTCTGCGCTGGACTCTCTCGAGCAGTTCCCTGTCCTTTTTGAACTGAGGGGCCCAGAACTGGACACAATACTCCAGATGTGGCCTCACCAATGCAGAATAGAGGGGGAGGAGAACCTCTCTTGACCTACTAACCACACCCTTTCTAATGCACCCCAGGATGCCATTGGCCTTCTTGGCCACAAGGGCACATTGCTGGCTCATGGTCATCCTCCTGTCTACCAGGACCCCCAGGTCTCTTTCACCTACACTACTCTCCAGCAGTTCAGCCCCCAACCTGTACTGGGACATGGTGTTGTTCTTCCCCAAATGTAAAACTCTGCACTTCCCCTTGTTGAATTTCATCATGTTTCTCCCCGCCCAACTCTCCAACCTATCTAAGTCTCTCTGAATGGCAGCACAGCCTTCTGGTGTGTCAGCCACTCCTCCCAGCTTAGTGTCATCAGCAAACTTGCTGAGGGTACATTCTATACCCTCATCCAGGTCGTTGATGAAGATGTTGAACAACACCGGTCCCAGCACCGACCCTTGTGGGACTCCACTAGTAACACACCTCCAACCAGATTCTACCCCATTGACTACAACTCTCTGACTCCTTCCTTTCAACCAGTTCCTAATCCACCTCACTTCCTGGTCACCAAACCCATACCTGATCAACTTATCCACAAGGATGCTGTGGGAGACGGTGTCAAATGCTTTACTGAAATCAAGATAAACCACATCTACCGCTCTACCATCATCTATCCACCTAGTAATTTCCTCATAGAAGGCTATGAGGTTAGTCAAACATGATTTACCCTTGATAAAACCATGCTGACTGCTCTTGATGACCCCCATGTCCTTGATGTGCCTGGAGATAGTGACAAGAACAAGTTCCCATGACTTACTGAAGATGATGGAGAGTGGCCTAGCAATGACCTCCGCCAGCTCCCTCAGCACCCTTGGGTGCATTCCATCCAGACCCATTGATTTATGGATGTCCAGATTACTCAACTGATCCCTAACCCAATCCTCATCTACCATGTCAAACTCTTCCTCTATCTTGACTTCTTCTGGGGCTATATGAATCTGGGGCTCATAGGGAGACCCTGCAGGAGTAAAGACAGAGGCAAAGAAGGCATCAGCACCTCTGCCTTCTTTATATCCTCTGTCACCAGGGCTCCCACCTCATTCCTCAATGGGCCAATATTGCCTCTAGTGCTAGTTTTGCTAGGTGTTGTCCCTAAGGAATCACATCCTTTTCTGTATCTGGAACCCCTACTCATGTTCCTTTCTTGTCTTCTCACCCCAAAGAAGAGGTCTCAGCATAAACCATCACCCAGAAGGTGCTGGGGAAGGGAAGGACTGATCCCTTCTACAGCAAATCCTTGGCAAGCTCTTCTCTCCCAATGTACTTCATTCCACACATTTTTTGTCCCTGTTGGTGGCCAGTTGTGCTGCCCACTCATCACACCAGCAGTGCAATTCCAGCAGCATTTTCTGCCTGTGGAAAATAAACCCTGGGTATTATTGTGGTGTGAGCAGAGAAAATGGGTGGCAGCTTAGGTGGTGTAACTGCCCCAAGTCTCTTTTGCTTCCCGCAGAGATTCAAGGGTGCTGATCCTCATGGATACCCAACCACCCTCTGTGGATCAGAACACACAGGGACCATCGTTCCCAGTTGTTCTTCAAAGCTGCCTCTCATCTGCCTTTGATTCCCAGCCCTCAGGGACAGGATTCAAGGCACACCCAGCGTGTTGAGTCAGGGAGCCACATAATCCTACATTTCCTTCCAGCCAGCACAACGGGCTGCCCTGTAGATGGCTCTGCTCTCAGACAGGGGTCACAGTGCTTGAAAGTCCAATTCAAACAATGTAGGAACTTTCCAACTAGGTGCTGGAAACACACCTCAGTACTATGGGCTTCAGTTTAAGACCAGAAGCAGGTGGACCCAAACCCCTGCCTCTCCTTCAGGTCATGTTGGTGCTGTACGTGATCAACCCCCCTGCAGTTGGGCACCTGCTGGTTTTTGCTGATGCTCCTCATGTGGCATGAGAAAGTGCACATCAAGCACATTAAATGGGGTTTAACAGCTAAAATCCCAATGCCCTGAGGGATGGAACAGGCAAGCTTTCAATAAAACCAGATTTTTCAGCCTCAAATCCATAGGTAGGGGAACTAATTTGATTTTCCTTCTATTTTATGATTAAATGAATGTAGAAGCCATAAACTGTTCTTATTAAAGAATCAGGATCTGAGCAATCTCGGGAGATTGATGTTCTTGATTGCTCCATTCTAAAAAAAATAAGCAGAATGGGGTGGGATTTTGGTTTAGCATCTGGAAATCTAGAATGGACAAGAAGAGGGGTGGAAGGGACAGCTGATCCTGCCAGCTAAGCCCTGCTGCTGTATTCTGCCCTCATCATCTTCACTGGGTGCTCCCAGAAGACCCAACCCTGGAGCAAGGAACAAACCTCTTGCTTATTCAGTTTGACAAAATCAACCCTCAACCTAATCCAGTGTGAAGAATCCAGGCAGGGATGAAACCCAACAGGCACAATGGGCACCACCACCTCAGCAGCAACCTCAGGCCACCCACTCCTGAGGCCACCACTCCAGCAGGGAATACACTGTAAATCCTTAAGCACAGCCTACATCCTGTGCTGTAGGCTCAGCTCACCCCGGGGCTGGGTCTTCCATTTCTTGAAAATTTTCAAGCCAAGATATAATTTCCAAATCATCATGCTCTAATTCTACTGTGTTCATCAATCCTGATGAGTAATTTTGTTGCCAGGAGCACCTATGACAAGGCCCCTTGGTCCTACACTGACTCATCACACTGCACTGAACTGCATCATATTTCCTCTGGCATCTTTTGCTGAACAGCCACTTCTTCAATGGAAAAAAAATAACCAAAAGGAGACTGAGAGAACTTTCCTTAATATTTTCAGCTACACCAGAACACTGTGTGAGCTCTTTCTTTTCAGGTTGGTTTGTCTGCTTTGGAAAGAAGTTATTACAGGTTAGTTTTATCCCCACAGCTTGGACTGTTACCTTAGCCTTGCACAGATTTCTTCCAACCAGATTAAAAAAAAATTAAAAATCACAAAATATCCTTTTTGGTCATAAGAGAATCATGGGATGGTTTGGGTTGGAAGGGACCCTAAAGATCATTTAGTTCCAACCCCCCTGCATGGGCAGGGACACCTCCCACCAGCCCAGGTTGCTCCAAGCCCCATCCAACCTGCCCTTCAACACTGCCAGGGAGATTTGGGACTCCCATAATTACAATAAATAAAAATGACAAGTCCTACTCTGGAATCACATCCACATTTAACCAGTGTACACATAGCCAGGTTGTCTTCCCCCACCAGATCACCTGTGACAGGCTGATGATTCTTTAACAGTTAAAAATCAACATGAGACTCAAGCATGCTCCATGTTCAAAACCACCCCTGGCAGAAGGAATTCCTGCAGTTGTGGCTCCACACAGAGATGTCCCACGTTGCCATCAGCCACTCAGCTCTGCCCTGTGCCCAGTGACTCTGCCCATGGGAAGAGGGCTGAACCCAGCAGGGAAAAAGCTACCAGGGAATTCTTCTTGGTGGTGGGCAGAGGGAACACCAGTGCTGGAACATTGCTGGAGATGACAGGATGTGTAAGGACAATGCTCTCTGATACAAACATCTCCAAGGCCTCTCATCTTCCAGGGCCCCAGATGGTCCACCTTTGCCATCCCACCATAACCAGGCCATTTCCAAAGGAGCAGAAGCTACATTCTCCACAAGCCATGGATCTCCCGGTGCAGCCCCACGAGGGCTTGAAGAAACACCCTCTGCCCTCAGTGGTTTAGTCCCCTCGGAGGCAACATGGCTGTGCCACCTCCTGTACTGCCCCTGCCTTCCCCATACCAAGGTCCCTCAACAGTCTTTGAATAGTAACCAGTCCAGGAATTTCCTCATTCCTCAGGTTTTCAGCCTAAATCCAAACAGAAGCAGCTGAATGGAGCCTGCCTGTGGCCAGGGAGACTCAGTGGCCCACCAGCAGCACCTGCTCTGCTGTGGAGAAAGTCCCTCTGTCCAAAGCCAGCTGGACAAGGCTGGCAGGAGCTGCCCCACAGCTCCTGTGTGAATTCCCCATTCCTGCCCCTGCCACAGCACAAACTGGAGTTTCAACCCGTCATTCACTCAACCTGAAAATCCTTTCAGTTTTGGAAAAGCTTTAGAAAATACTTGAAAAAGGTGTTGTTTTTTTTCTTTCTGGTGTGAGTAACATAATTATCTGCCTTCTCCTCCCAGACCTGAATAGACCAGTGAGGGAAGAAACTATCAGGGCTTTTGCATTTCTTTTTTTGAAGATGGATTTTTCTTGAGTAAGAGAACCCACCAGTGCCATTGGGATTGATCCAGAGGGAAATGAAACTGCATTTCAAACTCTCTAAAAACACCAACATTTAATTTTATAACATAACCAGGGGTTTATTCCACAATATAAACTGCAACATTTGATACAAGCTACCCAAAAAAGGAGAAAGCCAAAATACAGCTGTGGCAATTACTTTACAGAGCTTTTTGTTTTTGTGTTTTTTTTTCCTGTCTTCTACATCACTGGGCCCTCAGTGACACCAGGATCTACCATTTGCTTTCTGTACATCAACCAATGCTAGAAGCAACACGCTCTTCAGAATTGTCATTCCAGTCACTGAAACCAGACATAGAAGTTATTGCTCAGATAAATAAACCTAATCTACGAAAAACAAAGTGGAAAAAAACCTAAAGTCTCCAAAGAGTTAACAGAGTAAACAGGGATTTCCTCAAAAGAGGATTTATTGGAAAATTCATGGTGCAGGTTCTTTGTTTTTTTTTGCACCTAAACCAAGTTGAATTAAATATGCCGGTAAATCCCAGAGAGGTAATTTAATGCTGTACAAGAAAAGGTGCAATGTCCAAATGCCTTCTCAATTGGTGGAAACCCCTGCTCAACAGTCAGCATCTCAAACCTCAACAACCACAAACAGATCAAGGGAAAATACAAAAGTGTCAAAAATGGTTTTGAGTTCTGGAAAATGATCCCATAAGGATAGAAGTAGCACCATTTGCAATCTGGTTCTTAAACCAGCCCCTGTGGCTTTATTGGAAAACTCTGATAACCTTTTTCACTCCAGTCCTGAATGGTTTATGGGGAGTTTTACTTCCGATATGGACAGTCCTTCCCAGAGCAGCTGATGCAGATGTAGTCCTCCTTCTCTGCCATCTCTGGAGAGATGCCCACACACACCTGGTGGAACCACTGGTTGCAGCTGCCGTCGCACTGGACCCAATCAACCTAAGGAAGAACAGACAAGCTGGTGTTCAGAGAAGGACCAAGCAAATACAGCATTGAACAGTCATTGCTGGGCTCTTCTGTTCTATTTCGATCAGCGTGAAATGTCCTGTTCTCCAACTGGACATTCAACTCCTGCTCAGTCTGCTCTGGACTCCTGCAGTTCCACTCCTCTGAAGCTTCCCTGATCTCTGACACACTTCCCTGAGCTTCCCTGTCACTTTCCCACCTGCAGAAAACTGTTGATGGCAACTTTGCCATGGCCCTCCCAGGCTCCTGGTGATGTCCCTCTTTCCCATTTTCCAGTACGGATGGGCCTGTGCAGAGCTCCCAGGTACTGCCCCCACCCACAGAAAGGATGCAACCCACCAGGTCTGTCTACACCTGTGTTTCAAGAGCAGAGATGAACATGGTGTCAGCACACCCCACCTCTTCCTCCTGATGCCAGGAAGATGTTTTGATATCCACCTGCCTTCCCCAGTCCCAGCTGCAAAGCTGTTCTTGGAGAAGGTGGGAAGGAGCTTTAGTAACTGTGTCCCAGCAGTGGCAGACCCTGTTGCTGGGTTGCCCAGTGACTCATACACCTTGTAAAGGGCATTTCTGCAGTTGAACAGTTGGAATCCCAGACTGGTTTGGGGTGGAAGGGATCTTAAAGATCATCCAGTCCCACCCCTGCCATGGGCAGGGACACCTCCCACCAGCCCAGGTTGCTCCAAGCCCCATCCAACCTGCCCTTCAACACTGCCAGGAATGGGGCAGCCACAGCTTCCCTGGGCAGCCTGGGCCAGGCTCTCACCACCCTCACACTAAAGAATTTCCTCCTCATGACTCACCTCAATCTAGATTTAGATGGATCTAAAAGCTAGATCCCAGCACTCACACACCACAGCAGCTCTGCCTCTACTGACCTCATCTCCCTCAGGCTGCAGACAGTTCACAGCAGGGCAAACAGCATCTTCATCCTCTGAGTCCTCCTGCTCAGAGAAGGACATGTCTGAAGGAAGCAAGTGGCTCTCACTGGAACGCTGCATCTCCAAGAAACGCTCCCGCTCTCTCTCCAGTTTGTTTGTGCAGACATCCTTTGAGTGACTCAATTTCAGTTTCTTCTTTTTGGGTGTTCTTATTTTTTTTACTCTTGCTCTCTTCTCATCACAGAAACTCTCTCTCTCAAAACGCCGCTTTAGTTTTCTCTCCATGTAACTAATTCCATCCTTTTTTCCTCGGCAACACTCGTTCTATTGGAAATATATTTTGGCAAAATTGTAAGTATGCAACTAGAAATCCTCACCCTGCTTTTAGGAACAGACTCAAAGTGCAGTGTTGACAGTGTTGCCTTCTCAGCAGAAGCAGGATGTGTAAGGGGAGCAAAGGAGAGGGTCACACTCCAATGACAAAATTTGTAGAGAAAAAGATTCTCATTCCCTGCCTCTGAGTCCACTGCTTCAGGGGCAGGTCTCTGAGAAAGCCTCAAGAACACAGAGTAAGTGTCAAAATTTAGGATAAATATATTTTAAAAACAGAGAGTGACCACAAAAGCCAGACTCAAATTGCAAAAATGCATTAGGCCACAAATTATGTTCAATAGTTCATAACAACTTCAAATTATCAACTTCTTGACCCCTTTTGAACAGGGAAAATGTGTTTTCATGGCAGCACAGACATACACACACAGCTCTTTGTAAAGCTCACAGGCTCAGGCAGAGGCCCTGCCCCAGCCTGTCCCCAACCCCACTGCTGCTGCCAGACACTTGCCTTGTCATTTGTGGGTCCAAAGGATGACCTCTGCTCTGCTGGCAAAACAGGGCTTTGCTTTGTGAACAGGGTCTGGTACAGCTCCTGTATTTCAGGCAGAGAAACCTGTAGCAGCTGGGCTTCCATCATCAGCTCATCCAGCTCTGTGCTAATGACTATTATGAAAGAGGGAGAGAGGAGAAAATGAATTCTTCAGTATCAGCACTGATGAGAACTGCACAGATAATGAAAATTCTTCTCTGGTACATACAAATTTTAAATCTCCAATTGTATGAATTAACTTGTATCTGTTCCCTCTTCACTGCTCATTTTTAACAGCAGGGATAAAAGAAAGATAAAAGGCTTGCATAGCACTGTGGTGCAGCCCCCTTTCCAGGCTTGCATTTCTTGCTGGTTTGAGGATAAGCAATTCCCATCATTCTCTGCAATTTCTCCTGCTGCTGGAGCTACAAGATGTGTGATGATTCCCTCACTGTGTAACAAGCGTGTAAGATGAACAAACTGAGCAGAATCCATAAATGAAGCCAAGAGAGGAGAGGAAGGAAAGCAGAGGGGATGAACCCTGGAGTCCTGCTGTACCACTATTGAGCTTAAAGCCTGCGTGGGCTGTTGAAGCAGCCACAGCCAGGGCAGGCCACAATCACTGTGTAAATAACAGCTTTTTAATACAGTGTCCTGTACAGCTCAAATAAACCTGACTGTGCACAGGACTGCCTTTCATTTTAACTGTAAAGTTAAGCTGCAGTAAATGCCTTGTATGGACTCAGCTGCACTGACTTGAACACAAGAAGGCAAGTTCAGCTAGACCTGTGTCCCTGGGGCTTTATGCATCAGGAGGAAAGAAATGATAAGCGGGTTCTTTTACAGTCATAAGAGGAAGAGATTTCATGGGTCTGTGTCAGCCCAGTGAACCAGAGTCTGCACTGGGACTTGGGCAGCCCCGGGGCACAGCAAGGAAAACCCTCCAGTCTGTGAGCCTGGGACAGTTCTGTTGCAGCAGAACTCAGGTGGGCTCTTATTCTATGGATTAAGTAACCCATGGTCTCCAGCACTACCTCCCTGCACTGTTCCCATCCAGCTCCTACAATTTCCATGGGCCCTCCATCCCTGTCTGGGTTGGCCACAGACCCCCTGTGCTCTTCACATGGGAAGGGGCTCTTGGCTGATCCCTCTTCTCCTCCCATGCCCCATTTTTCATGACACAGGTCGGAAATGTGAGCTGTTGAGAAAGTCACCCTGCTGCCCAAGCTGGACATTAAGTTCCAAAGCTGCTGAGGGGCTGGAGAAGCAACCAGGTGTGTTGCACTGTCACATGCCTCCCTGCCTCAGCCATCTCCTGGTGACCAGGACACCCTCTCTTCACCAAAATCAGGGGGGGAAAAAGGGAAAGAAAAAACAAATCAAAGTGAAATTACAAACCATGGAGTGGGATGCAGTGCTGTCCTGTAGAAAATGGAGAATGTAAATATATGGTTCTGTTATCCCAGTCATGAGGCATGGAGAATGACATAGCTCCAATAGTCTGGGAAACCTAGAAAACAAAACAGAACATAATGCATAGATATTGTCACTAAATATGGAGTTTTGAAGTGTCAAATAACTGCAACAGAATTCAAACTGGTTTCTCTTACAATTGCTTTAGATCTTGTTCCATCTGATGCACCCTAGTCCTTCACCCTACACAGGGCAACAGGGAACAGCAACTTTATTGCCCCAATTCTTAGCTGTGAATTATCATTTCCACAGTGATCAGGACCAGCCCCGGTGCACGTGGCAGCATGATCCACCAGAGGAAAGCAAGCCTGGGGAGCAGAGACAGCACAGGCAGGGACACTGCAGGGACAACCCTGGGCTTCTGGAAGCAAGGGCTCAAGCTCTGGAACTGACTCAGTGTAAATATTACAGTTCCCTGCTTTCTTCACAAGAACAAAGTGATTTCTCACTGTCTTGATCTGATCAGACACCAACACTGTGTTGAAGCACTTCTCTTCACCTCAGCAGGCACAGAGGATACATCCATGGCAAACCATGTGCTTACATATGCAAAGGCCACGTCAGGAAGCCACCAAGTGTCTGTTTCAGACACACAAACATCTCACCAGACACCTTCCAAGATATTGTCTCCCTCCCTTCCAGTGCCTGGGTCCCCCTCAAAATCTGGCTCTCATCAATTCTCACAGCTGTTTTTCAAGAGAATTTTTCAAACTCATCTAAATGCTCCACATTCTTAAATTTGGCCAGTGCCAAGGAAGCCAAAATCCAGTGGTTACGGCTATGAGCTTCTCTGGGGGAACGGGAGTGTTGAGTTGTCCCAGGTAACAGGGAAAACACAATTGTTCAGGACAGGACAGCAATGCTGAGACACCAGATTCACCAAATAAACATCTCAAATCCACTGAGACCAAAGCTTTGGGGTCAGCACCTCTGCAGAGATGGCTCTGGAGGCCACTCTGCCCTGCCCCCAGCACCATTGTCTCCAAGAAGACTCCATAGCACAGCAAGGGACCCAAGGTCAGGCACACGGTCAGATGCTCTTCCACTGAGCTTCCCAGGGACTTCTGATGGGGGAAATGTGGTCATAAGGAGCTGGCTGAGCTCTGACAGAGTTACTTTGATTTAGGTGGTTTACTGACTTGAGCTCCAGACCACAGAAAAATGGCGAGACAGCTTTCAGCTCTGAGGAACCTCACAGTACCACACTGACCTGATAAAACAGTGCTGATACAACTAACCTTACTACTTCCACTTCTGCCCCAAGCATCCACTTACCTGCCCAAAATGGTGCCCTTTTTTTCAACCATACTGGTTGGTCTTGTAAAAAGATACTGTCAAACCTAAGTTATCGGATATATTCTCATAGGTGTCTAAATATGATTTTAATTTCTAAAATTAGGCTTGTCTATTTGAAAAATGTGGTCAACACAGGCAACCTGGTGTAGCAGTTACCCAGGAAGCAGCTACAGCATCTCTGAGCACATGGGGCACATTTTATGGTTTTAACATAACTGAGCATGAAAACAAAAGCCACACAGACTAACTTAAGCAGGGTTGGGCTAGCAAAAGTGGTGCTTCAATCCAAAAATACAAGCAGAGTGCACTTCATTTCGGGATGTTTTATATTTTTTGTGCTGCACAGACCTTTATTTCAGATTTCTTCTGCACTTGTTATCTCAGGAAAACTAGAGGTGTTAACCTCTTTCTCACTTTGTGCTTTTTGCTAAAAGATCTTCCCTGGAGGGAGTCTGAAGCTCCCTCATGACCACATCTGAAACAGTTTCTATAGATTAACTCAGTATGAGTAGAATATTCAGCTTGGGAGCTGTAGTTTAAGTGATAAGAAGAAGGAGCAGTAATGGCTGAAGATACCCTGTTGAAAACCACCTCTTCTCAGAGCAACAGACACACTGGACAGTTTGTGCCTCAGTTACTAATTCTGAGCACTTTAAACTATACTGAAATACTTGCAAGAACAGAACATAAAGATTAACTGAATACTAAGCATTACTGAATACTAAGAAACAATAGCTTCAGCAACTCTGTGGTTCACAGTGTCACATTAGAGCTTAGGAGCTGAAAGGAGAAGGGAAAATGGGCCCTTTAGGAGCAATTGTTCCCAGGGTTCCAGCAGGAAGGCAAACACGAAGCTGCTGCAGGGGGACACACATCCTGCCTAAGGGTCAGGGCAGAACCCAAACTCGTGTATCTGTGAACCACACACAAACCATCTGCCTCGCCAGTATCTGTAGGCAGATCCAAGGAACCCAAACCCCGGGCAGGGGTTCCAGGCTGCTCTTGCTGGCCACGCAGTGCCCAGGAGCCCCAGCAGCAGCCCAGCCTCACCTTGTTTGTCTCGGGCAGCTGGCCCGCCGTGCCTGGCCACCTGGTGTACAGTAATCCTGAGCCAACTTTGTCCTGTAGAAGTTTTAGATTCCCTGAATACAACATCTGTTGCGCCCTGTGCTGCCAGTTCACAGTTCTCTCAATCAGGTAGCGCAGGGCGTCCCCCTCGGGGAGCCGCACGCGGATGCGCTGCAGGGAGGCCAGGAGGGGCAGGATCTTCTCCAAGGGCGGCTTCTCCGAGCGGTGACACTGGGGACAGAGCCAGACGCGCGGCCCCGGCGCGGCGCTGGGCACGGACACGCAGCCCGTGTGGAAGAAGCCTCTGCAGAGCTCACACTGCACCATGGGGGCTGCCGGCTCCTTCTGGCACACGCAGACCTTCAGCTCTGCCTCCTCCTCCCCAGACAGCACCTTCAGCTCGTTGGCCGCGCGCAGCGAGCGCAGCGCCTCCATCTCCCTGCTCCGGGCTTCCCCAAGCGTCACCATCTGCAAGGGAGTGCAAAGACAGGAAGGTTACTCATTAGGAACAGGCTGACCCCTGCACAGCCACGTGCCAGCCAGGAGTTCAGCTCCTCAAGATGCCCCTCACGCCTGTTCAAGGCTTTGAGTGTTTGAAGTGAAGCAGGTTTGAGGAGGTGCATCCTTGTGGCTTCAGTTTTCCTCCATTTTCTCATCAGGCCCAGAGATACTGAGCTCACTCCCTTGCAGAAATACCCTCCTCATTCCCTTCCTCCCTGTTCCAAATCCATGTTTTGTACTACAAAAACTGCCTGCACTAAAGCAGCTTAAATTCTGAAAAAAGGGCAGATTTGGCTTGCAGGTGCTTCTCTGTGAAACGTGCCTCTCAAACACGCAGCCTGACTGTGCAAAACATCTCTGGGTGGCTTTCAGAAATACAAACTCACCTCTGATCCCACCCCGTACACACTGTCAGGTGCCCAGGGCTGTGTCCCAACCTTTGTGCTGGCTCAAGGGTTTATAAACAACAAGTGAAATTCGGGTGAACTCCTGAATGTGGTGTTTGCCTTTTCTACATCTGCTCAGGATCCTTTTTTATAAGGAATCTTTAGCATTAGCTGCTATTAAAGATAGCAATATATCTCAGTTTCATAAAAGAGGCTGTAAGTAGCAGCTGCAAATAATACCATCTCCACATTTTACTATGGATATAAAAATAAATGTCAACGGGAGAGTACATAAATATATACAAAACAGTTACTTCAAACATCATGGCTTTAAAAGATTTTCTTTCAAAGCAAGAGAGTTGGGGTGTTCAGCCTGGAGAAGAGAAGGCTCCAGGGAGATCTTAGAGCATCTTCCAGTGCCTGAAGGGGCTCCAGGAAAGCTGGGGAGGGGCTTGGGACAAGGGCAGGGAGGGATGGGATGAGGGGGATGGATGAAAAGTGGAAGAGGGAGATTGAGGTTGGACATGAGGAGGGAATTCTTCAGTGTGAGCATGGTGAGACCCTGGCCCAGGCTGCCCAGGGAAGCTGTGGCTGCCCCATCCCTGGCAGTGTTGAAGGGCAGGTTGGATGGGGTTTGGAGCAGCCTGGGCTGCTGGGAGGTGTCCCTGCCCATGCAGGGGGTTGGAACTAGATGACCTTTAAGGTTCCTTCCAACCCAAACCAGTCTGTGATCCCATGATTCAGATGACCCAGTCTTTTCTCCTGCCAGCACCCATAGGGCACAGTCTGTGTCTGGATTCCCAGACAAGGGAGATCAAACCCAAAGAGCTGAACATGCAGGTCTCAAGTGGTTGCCATAGGTTAAAACTTAGATGTCCCATATCAAAAGGGACCATTGTAATCAAACCCTACCAAACCAGGCTGCTGCTCCACAACAATCATATCACACTGTTTAATCTGACCATGGTGGAGACTCTGAAATACATCTTTTGGGATCAAGCACTTCACCACCAGCAACTAGGTAACTAAGTCTGCTCCATCCAGAGCCTCTGTTTTACTGACTTCATAATACATGAGGGTTTTGTTATTTTTTTATGGTGTTTGTTTTAATTATAAATGGTGTTGGCTTATTGTGTTCTTTGAGAGGATCGGACTCGGGAAAACCCTACCCTATCTTTAACAAGGCTTTGGTACGCTGGGGGAAACAGGTCTCAAAGGTTTATTCTCCCATGCTGTGTTAGGCTACAGGCACTGCTTGGCAAATCACAGAGTCACAGAGTGGTCAGGGTTGGAAGGGCCCTCTGGAGATCATCTAGTCCAACCCCCTGCTACAGCAGGGTCACCTACAGCAGATCCCACAGGAACACATCCAGATGGGTTTGGAATGTCTCCACAGAGAAGGAGATTCCACTTCCTCTCTGGGCAGCCTGTCCCAGGGCTCTGCCATCTGCTCAGGATCCTTTTTTATAAGGAATCTTTAGCATTAGCTGCTATTAAAGATAGCAATATATCTCAGTTTCATAAAAGAGGCTGTAAGTAGCAGCTGCAAATAATACCATCTCCACATTTTACTATGGATATAAAAATAAATGTCAACGGGAGAGTACATAAATATATACAAAACAGTTACTTCAAACATCATGGCTTTAAAAGATTTTCTTTCAAAGCAAGAGAGTTGGGGTGTTCAGCCTGGAGAAGAGAAGGCTCCAGGGAGATCTTAGAGCATCTTCCAGTGCCTGAAGGGGCTCCAGGAAAGCTGGGGAGGGGCTTGGGACAAGGGCAGGGAGGGATGTGTGAGCATGGTGAGACCCTGGCCCAGGCTGCCCAGGGAAGCTGTGGCTGCCCCATCCCTGGCAGTGTTGAAGGGCAGGTTGGATGGGGTTTGGAGCAGCCTGGGCTGCTGGGAGGTGTCCCTGCCCATGCAGGGGGTTGGAACTAGATGACCTTTAAGGTTCCTTCCAACCCAAACCAGTCTGTGATCCCATGATTCAGATGACCCAGTCTTTTCTCCTGCCAGCACCCATAGGGCACAGTCTGTGTCTGGATTCCCAGACAAGGGAGATCAAACCCAAAGAGCTGAACATGCAGGTCTCAAGTGGTTGCCATAGGTTAAAACTTAGATGTCCCATATCAAAAGGGACCATTGTAATCAAACCCTACCAAACCAGGCTGCTGCTCCACAACAATCATATCACACTGTTTAATCTGACCATGGTGGAGACTCTGAAATACATCTTTTGGGATCAAGCACTTCACCACCAGCAACTAGGTAACTAAGTCTGCTCCATCCAGAGCCTCTGTTTTACTGACTTCATAATACATGAGGGTTTTGTTATTTTTTTATGGTGTTTGTTTTAATTATAAATGGTGTTGGCTTATTGTGTTCTTTGAGAGGATCGGACTCGGGAAAACCCTACCCTATCTTTAACAAGGCTTTGGTACGCTGGGGGAAACAGGTCTCAAAGGTTTATTCTCCCATGCTGTGTTAGGCTACAGGCACTGCTTGGCAAATCACAGAGTCACAGAGTGGTCAGGGTTGGAAGGGCCCTCTGGAGATCATCTAGTCCAACCCCCTGCTACAGCAGGGTCACCTACAGCAGATCCCACAGGAACACATCCAGATGGGTTTGGAATGTCTCCACAGAGAAGGAGATTCCACTTCCTCTCTGGGCAGCCTGTCCCAGGGCTCTGCCACACTCACAGTCAAGAAGTTTTTCCTCCTGTTCAGCTGGAACCTCCTGTGCTCCAGTTTGTGCCCATTGCCGCTTGTCCTGTCACTGGGCATTGCTGGGAAGAGTCTGGCCCTATCCTGCTGACACCCCTGGAGATATTGAGGAGGGGTGATGAGATCCCCCCTCCGTCTCCTCCTCTCCAGCTGAACAGCCCCAGCTCTCCCAGCCTTTCCTCACAGGCAGGTGCTCCAGTCCCCTCAGCACTTGCTGGCCCTGCCCTGGACCCTCTCCAGTAGCTCCTTGTCCTTCATGAACTGGGGAGCCTAGAACGGGACACAGTTCTCCAGGTGCAACCTCATAAAGGCAAAGCAGAGGGGGAGGTGAAGAAGAGTAAGACTACTCTAAGACTACTTCATGCACAAAGACAACACACATTTTTTCCCACTAGAAGGGGGGAAAATTTTCCAGTTTTGCAAAGTGAGGAGAAAGCACAGAGAAATGCAGCCCTGGGAGTCCTTCTTGCAGAACAGCAGAGCAAGCAAGAGTGGAAGCTTTGCACGGGGGGTAAACAAAGATTCAAAGAACTTATAAGAAAGTCTAGTTTGTAAAAGCCCTGAGGCCACTTACTGCAGCTGCAGTGTCTTTGCTCTCTGAGAGAGCTCTTTCTAGGTCACTCAGAGTCTCCATCTTGGTGCTTTTCTTTTTTCCACCTGGCACTGGATCCTTCAGCTTCTTCTGCTTTCTCTTCAGATTCAGCATTCCAATATCACAGCGGGGACATAAGACCTGAGGGACAGAAAAGCAGGATTGTCCATGACATTGCTCCTGCACTCATCCTGCCCCAACAGCCACGTTTGACTGGGTAGAACAGGGATCCCTGCAGTTTCGTCTATCAAAGATTTGGGGGAATAGAATGAGGTTATCTGGAAAATCAGGAGAGCTGGAAGGTTAAAAATTCAGTTGTATAAAATGGACAGAACCCAACCACCTCCATGTGTCATTGCTGGTAACATGGAGACAGCTGACACACTGAACATCCTCCACATGCAAGTCCTGGAAAACAGTAGAAGATTCCAGGGATTGCCCTGAATTCCCAACTGTCTTAGAGAGCCAGGGCTGAAATCTCTTACCTCCAGAAGAGAGTAAGGGGAGTTCTCACACAGGAACGTGTTGGCTGCACACTCCTTCCACGCTTGCACTTCTGACACCAAGGACTCCAGCCTGGGCAGGTAGTCCAGATGCACTGGAATGCATCGACCTCTTGTGACAAGTTCCACCAGTGTGTCCAGGACAGGCACACGTCCTCCAGCCTGCAGATTATAAATTTAAAAATGCTTGTAAGACACACCACTTCTATAAATCCCAGCGAGTCATTTAGATTAACTGAAGGTAGAGCTCTTAAAAATGAATTTAAAATCATAGAATGGCTAGGGTTGGAAGGGACCTCAAAGATCATGTAGTTCCAGCTGCTTAGATACTTCAGTCACTGCTGTTATTTCAACATTTGTGCTTCTCATGCTCTAGTCCCTGAGCACACAGACAAAACTAATAAAACACCAGGGGGGAAGAACACACTGACCAAATGGAAGCTTCAAAATAGACTGCCAGCAGTATAATTAGACTCCCCATCTAACAATCTGTACCAACAGCAGAAAATCAGAAGAATTTTGAAACAGACCCAGAAGGCAGGTCTGACCCCATCCCCAGCACGCCAAGAGCATGGAGCCATCTCAAGCCTTCATGAGCCTCTTCACAGAATCCCAGAATGTTAGGGGGTTGGAAGGGGCCTGGAAAGATCATCCAGTCCAACACTCCTGCCAGAGCAGGGTCACCCAGAGCACATCACACAGGAACGTGTCCAGAGGGGTTTGAATGTCTCCAGAGAAGGAGACTCCACAGCCTCTCTGGGCAGCCTGTCCCAGGGCTCTGTCACTCTCACAGGAAAGTTCTTCCTCACATTTTACGTGGAACCTCCTGTGTTCCAGTTTGCACCCACTGCCCTTTGTCCTATCACTGGAAAAAGCCTGGCTCTGTCCCCCTGACACTTGCCCTTAATGTATTTATAAACATTGATGAGGTTGCCCCTCAGTCTCCTCCAAGCTCATGAGACCCAGCTCCCTCAGCCTTTCCTCAGCAAGGAGATGTTCCACTCCCTCCATCATCTCTGTGGCTCTGAGCTGGACTCTTTCCAGCAGTTCCCTGTCCTTCTGGAACTGAGGGGCTCAGAACTGGACACAATACTCCAGATGTGGCCTCACCAAGGCAGAATAGAGGGGGAGGAGAACCTCCCTTGACCTACTAACCACACCCTTTCTAATACACCCCAGGAGGCCATTGGCCTTCTTGGCCACAAGGGCACATTGCTGGCTCATGGTTATCCTCCCCCAGGTCCCCTTCTCCTACCCTGCTCTCCAGCAGGTCAGTCCCCAACCTGTACTGATACCTGGGGTTGTTCTGCCCCAGCCCTGACAACCAGCCCTGTGCAGTCGCTCTGCAGGTTCCCTGCATCAGCAGCAGAGTCTCTCTGAGAGGGGATTTCTAAACCATGCAGGGATGTGGGACTGAGAACTGCTCAGCCAGAATGAACCCAACATCTTTAAGCAGCAAACCTCCAAGTACTGCTACCAAGCACTTCCTGCAAGTCATAGTGACTTCAGGCATTTCCTAAAATCTTTGCAGAACTGAACAAGAATTCCTGGCACACACAGACACATTTTTACATGTTCAGAATCCAAACCAAGAAATGAGAAAACACAAAGAACAATTCCAAGTCCTCTCAAAACAGCCCTCAAACAAAACTTTGTATGTAAAAATAAGTGACATGCATTTTGTTCCTTCCAAATTTTGAAGCCCGGGACAACTGTTTTTTTAAAATAAAAGCTTCTTGACTCAAAAGAAGTTTTTATTAAAAGCCCAATTCAGGTCAGGTAGGCCTGAAAACACTAGCATGTCAGATCAGAGTTCACTTTATGGAAAAAAAAAAAAAAAGGAGAACAAATAAAAAGATAAGGAAGTATTTGGCCACTTGTATCAAAATGTCCCCCCTTTCCTGATCTGTGCAGTCCCACTGACCCCTTGCTGAGTCAGGAACCACTTCAAAAATTGGGCCCAGCCAGGATTATTCCCTGGGTTAGAACCTGCAGAGTCTGGCTGCAGGAGGAACAGTGCTGAGAAGAGGGCAGAGAGAAGAGGGGAGAATTAAGCTGCCATTGAACTGTAGAAGAAGCAAGTAACAGGAAAAGGAAACAAACACACGAAAGGAAACTGGGTCCACCAACCAAACTTTCTGAAAGGTTAATAAAAAGATTCAAGCAGGAAATGCTAAAAGCCAAGGTGAAATCCTGGGTGAAAACTCTGTTCCTGGTTTTCTCTCTGCCATCAGCTTTTTGCTCAGCTGAAGACTTGTTTCAGTGTGAGAACATGGCCACTAAGCTCAAAAACTGGAAGAGGAAGAAGAGGGAGGGAGGGAAGAAGAGAAATTCCATCTCAAAATTCCAACAGAACTACTACAAAATTACAAGTATTTTAATCAATTAAATCAAAGGCTGACCATTTAGGAATAGAAGCAGCAGCAGCAGCCTTGGGACTGGTCACACTTAATAGGCAAGAGTGAGGGGAAACCCCTCAGTTAGAGAAAATATCTGAAATACTGAGTATCTGAAAAGTCTGAAATATCACTAAAGATGCAGCAGAGGAAACTGAAAATAAGTTCTATGGGGCCCTAGAAGAGGTGATTCCACCACCAGTAAGTGTGAATGTCCTTGTATCATGAGGTCTTGGTGAGATGTTCCCTGCAGAACATGGGCTCTGCTCCAGAAAGGCACATTCCAAACTGGAGAAAATCCACAGACAGGACACTTGTCTGATCAAGAAAACTCCTCGATCAGGAAACCTTGGGGCTTTTTTAGAAGATGCTAGAGGAAAATTTTTTGCTTAGCCAACCCAATGAAGGCCATGAAAAGCTACTGTTGGTGCCTTCAGTGCTTCAGGGGATTTGCTAATTCAGAGTCAGCAAGCAGAGCTTCAGCAGTGTCACCTGCTCCATAATGTGTTTTAACTGGAGCACAGGAAGATGATCATCTTTATAGTAAGGCTGTTCTGGAGATTGCTGCTATTGGGAAAGCATCTTCTGAAACAAGACTCATTTCTTTAAGTTAAGAAAGTATTGAAGTGTATTAGCAAAATGACTGCACTAGGATGGAAAACGTTTAACATTTTTTAACTTGAAAGTGAACTTCACAAGGAAACTACAAAGATAGTATTTTTCTTTCATCCACAGAATGGTAAAAAAAAATACAATTACCAGGTAAAAGGACCATTGTCATTAGTTACTGAGCAAGATTTACCTTAAGGTAAAGCTCCATAGAATCACAGACTGGTTTGGGTTGGAAGGAACCTCAAAGGTCATCTAGTTCCAACCCCCTGCATGGGCAGGGACACCTCCCACCAGCCCAGGTTGCTCCAAGCCCCATCCAACCTGCCCTTCAACACTGCCAGGGATGGGGCAGCCACAGCTTCTCTGGGCAATCTGGGCTAGGGTCTCACCACCCTCACAGCAAAGAATTTCCTCCTAATGTCTCATCTAAAGCTCCCTCTTCCAGTTTTAATCCATCACCCCTTGTTCTCTCACTATGAGTAGTCCTTGACAAAAGCCCCTCTCCAGTAAAGTGTCTAGATTTATCCTTTACAGATTTTATTGCATCCAGTTAATTGCTGAGGTGAAGGAACATAAATCAGGTCCAGGAGCAGAGGTAAAACCAGCACTCATGTACAGAGGGAATCCTGTACAGGGTCTGTTAACCTGACAGGGGTTCCTGTCCCTCAGCAGAAGCAGAGTTCATGTACCTGCAGAGCTTCCACCTCCTGCAGCCAGTCTTTGGCCTTCTGCACCGCGTCCTTCAGGGCCGCACCACTGGGGAGATAGGCTGGGATCTCCTCCAGCTCCTTCACCGCCGCTGCCAGGCTGCTCAGCGACTGCCGCGGTCTGCGGGAACAGAACAGCCCACAGCGTAAAATGCTGCAGCAACGGGGCTTCTCCTACTCATCTGAGTCAGTAAAACCAGAATTACACCAAATAATGGCCTCATGTTCAGCACTAGAGATGAGGACTGCACACCCAGTCTAGTCTGCACATCCATCTGCACTAGTCATGCAGGTACATTTGCTTGCTGCAGACTCCTACCAGAAACAGTCACACTTCTGAACTCAAGGCAGGTTTAACATTCATTAACTTTTGACTGCAAGAACCTTGGATCCTCAAACACACAATGAACCCTAAAACGTGACTAGCTAAGTGATGCTACATTAGAAGGTTACAAAAAAACTCTGAAGATGGGTTTCCTGTATTTCACAATTCGATTTGTTTTAGAAAGGTACAAACACAGCAGCATCTCCAGTTTGGAGGGTAAAAGCAAGTTTCTTCCAGTTTTGTGCTGAATGGATGATTACTTTAAAACAGTATGATTACTAGTGGGTATGAAAGGCTCAAATGCTTTCCTAATTATGAGTCTGGGGGAAAGAATTTTTTAAAAAGTAAAACCAGGAATGTGGAGGGAAGAAAACTTGCATATAAGTTTGAGGCACTTTTCTAAACGATGCTCTCCCCCATTTTACTTTATAAATCAAAAGGTCAAAGCAAGAAGCAAGAACATTTTTCTCATTAAGGATGTATTTGGCTTATTTTCTTCTTCCCTGCACCAACTAATCTGAAAAATCTCCTCAATATTAGTGCATACAATAACATTTTGCCAGCCTGACACTGGGCGTAGGAAGAAGGCAGAAATGAAGGAGGGAAGACATGTCTTAAAATCCTTCCTTGTGGTGAAAGGATTTCCACCATGACAGTGGGGCACCACCAACTCTGCAAGCAAGGTTTGAGGTTTGACATGGCCAAGTCCCTCATCCCCCTTCTCCATTCCTTTCCCTTCTCCATGGCACTTCATGTTTTGCCTTCATGTTGTGAACAGGATGAACAGAAAAGCCCCCTCAGGAGTAAAGCCAGCGATATCCATTGTAAACAGCTCATGGAATCACAAGATGGAACAGGAAGACTCAGCTTCTACCTGGCCTTTATCAGATTCCTGGCTTTGTCATCCCAGTGTTCAGACACAGTGAGGAGCTCCTGCAGCTTTGCCATCGCTTTCTCAACTGCTGGGTAGGGAGCCAGTCCAACACCTGAGTCTATCAGACGTCTCATGTCATCCAGAGTGAGCGAGCTGTGGTCTGCAGAAGCCAGCTGCACGTCCTCCAGCCAGCGGGCCTGCTCCAGCCGCGTCCGCAGCTCCGCCAGCTGGGGCAGATCGACGTCGAAGTCGAAGCTGACATCCAGCAGCTCCTGCAGCTCTGCAGAACTGGGCATTTCTTCAGACAGGAGTTTTTGGCTTTGCTGTTGGAAAGCTTCCACACGATCAAGAAGATCCTGAAATAAACAAATGCAGCAATAAACTGGGAGAAAAGCAACTGCCAAACCTGTTGAACACCCACGTGCGCGGCGGCCGGCAAACACCGCAGCACAACACACAAACCTGCCAGTGGTGACACAGAATCATGGAATGGAAGGGACCTCAAGGATCATCTGGTCCAACCTCTCTAGGTAATAATGCAATTTAAATGAGGTGGCCCAGCAGCATGTCAAGCTGAGTCTTCAAACTCTCCAATGTAGAGGAATCCACCACTTCCCTGGGGACATTTTTCCAGTGTCTCATGGCGAAAAATTTTCTTCTGGAGTCCAATGAGAACCTCCCCAGGAGTAACTTGTACCCATTACATTGGGGATTGGACACGATGATCTTTGGAGGTCCCTTCCAAACCCTAACATTCTGTGATTACCCCTTGTCTTCTCCATGTGACTCCTTGCAAAAAGGGAGTTTCCAAAACATCTGGACCACTTAATAGTGTGTCTTCAACACACAATGTATGTATCAGCATCTCCTCATACATGTGTCCACCAGCTTGAGGATCACAGAACAAGGGAATTCCAAATTCCTTTGAACTAAGAGACAAGTGCCAAAAAAGTCTCATAAGAATAGAAAGGATCTAAGGGGAAATTTTAGGTGTTCCATCAGTGCTGTTTTCTGGCTTTGTTCTGGAATGATTGAGAAGGCTAGAAAATAAGGTCAAGATTAAGAAAGCTTTGAAGAACACTGGGAAGGGCATGGAGTTCTGGGGTTCATTTCTGCTGCACTGTTAAGGTTTTGAACTGGACCACAGTGTCTCCATAAGTCACAGGCTTTCTACTCTCTCATGTAGTGCAACACCTTCCCTCTCTCCATATGTCCAACAGCTAATTACCCCTCCAAGGCCCCTGTGTGGCTGTTTGCACCTCACCCAGCATGATGGACAGTCAGCCAGAGTAATCTCACTGCAAAGGCTGGAACAGGTCTGTATTTAGCCATCCTGCCCAACGCTTCCAGTACTGGTTGAAATGCAATTCCAGCAGTGAGTTCTTCCTTCACAGCTGGTACCTTGGGATTTTGCCAATCAGGTTGTATGCCAGGATAAGCAATCCCACCCATGATGGAAATAAAGCCCTTTTAGAGACAGATTAAATTGTCAACTGATCTCTAGTAACTGTTGGTCATTTCAATTAACAGCCTCATTTACATGACTACATATAATGTAGGATTGTTGACAATGATATAAACTAATACCCTGACCATATGTGTTTGATATTTCCCTGTTCAAGAATGCCAGATGGAGAAGAGCTGTTTGCATCTCTGGCATTTCTGAACTTCTGCTTTTTGAATTAGTAAGAGAACTTCAGAGTTACAATGCTATAAACAAATAACTGTAAATAGGATTACATAAAATCTAATTCACACATTCCAGACCTGATAAAGCTTCAGAAGCAACAGACATAAAGCTGAACAAAACCTGTCTATTCTGATTCAAAGTCACACTATGCTCTGGTCTTTCAGCATTATGTGGACACCTCAGAGATAGGTCAGGAGTTGAGAGTCACAAACATGCAAAGTCCTTCTCCATTAGGATGGGACTTGCAGTTGCCCAGAATTCATGTTCCTTTTTTCACTTACCCCTCATTGTGATAATGTTTTGGCAAATTCTGAAACCAAATCTTGAATTACTCTCAGCTTGTCCAAGGGCTGTGCAGCTACTGAGCACAGTGACCTGGGTCACCCTCAGCAGCATGTACTCTGCTAGAACAAATATTAGGGGTGGTAGCTTTGGCTGGGTTTATCTGTGCTGGTTCCTGGAAGGGGGTTGATACAAGGAGGTCTCTAATGAGAAGACTGAAAAGCTGGCCGTGGATTAACACAGCAGGGAAGTGACAAATGGCAGAAGTGTCACTAGGGGCACTATGGAGCTTTGAATACTCTCAGATAAACCTGGCTTCACCTCTTCAGGGGAGACTAGTCAACTGACCCCAAACTTTTAACCTGTAGTTATTCATGTCATCCTGCTGCTGCTTTTGTGTTGCTTCATGCAACATTAACATATGTCCCGTGTAGCATAACTCTACTGACCATAAACACCAGCAGATCAGAAAGCTTCCTTCTTGAGCAACTCCTGTGCACAAGTTACCCTACCCAGGGCTGCCAGTTTAAAGGTCTTTCTTGTTGGAGCAAGTAGTAAAATAGGAGAAGAATTCAGTGCAAAAATATCACTAACAAATGATAGTGCTCTTTGCCCTTGGGCTGGGCCCCTGGAGCAAAGAAGAGCCACCAAGCTGGTGAAAGGTCTGGAGAATAAGTCCTGTGAGGAGACACTGAGGGAACTGGGGGTGTTTAGTTTGGAGAAGAGAAGGCTGAGGGGAGACCTCATTGTTCTCTACAGCTCCCTGAAAGGAGGTTGTAGGGAGGTGGGAGTTGGGCTCTTCTCCCATGTCAATAACGACAGGACCAGAGGAAATTGCATGAAGCTTTTCCAGTGGAGGGTTAGACTGGATATTGGGAAGAATTTCTTTACCCAAAGAGTGGTTGGACACTGGAACAGGCTGCCCAGGGAGGTGGTGGAGTCACCATCCCTGGAGGTATTAAAAAAACCTGCAGATGTGGCACTTTGGGGCATGCTGTAGTGGGCCTGGGGGTGTTGCTGTGCTGTTGTTTGGTGCTCTGGGGTTTTTGCTTTTCTCCTGTGTGGATGGTTGGACCTGATGTTCTCAGAGGTTTTTTCCAACCACAACAATCCTGTGATTCTGGGTTTCCCACGTTACCTTTAGCAGGGGTGTCTGGCTGAGGACACAGGGCAGAGCATAGAGCTGCCTCACGAACAGCCGCAGCTCGTTCACCGTCAGCTGGTTTGGGCACTTCCCCCCTCCGGAGCGGTACCTGCAATTCAGCACAGTTCAGCTTGGTTGGATGCCACCAAAATATAACATAAAATCTCCACTTCTCAAAAAATCTGCTTATGATTTCTTCTGCGTCAAACTTTACTCACAAATAATGGAATATTCAAAAGCACCCAAGCAGCCTAGGGCCTACATACATGGGAGAACTTCAGCTGGCTGTAGCAGAATAAGCCATTGTTGAAAATACTCTTTCATATTAAATACTATTCTGGAACAACTACTCAAACCTTGGGAAAGCACTGGTTATTATGGATTAAAATTAGGCTTTTTTCCAGAATACAAAGCAATTGTGGATCAAGTATTCAGTTGTGTTGCAACAGCTATTGTACTAAGCTCTTCCCATGCCCATACCAAAAGAGAACAAATCCCAATTTTGAATGGGTTTTATACTCACAGGGTGTGTAGGCACTTCTGAAAAATCCTCTTTACGCTGAAATCATCATTTTCATTTTTATCTACAAGCTTTGTATCAAATGAGTGGCTTACAAGGGTTAACAGCTAATATTAAAAACCTCTCTAAACTCAAGCTAATATTAACTAGGCCTGAGAACCCCGAACAGAAAAGGAAAAAAACGTCTTACAGTGCTGGCTCCAATTTAATCCACAATTTGTCATTTAAATAAATGAGGAAAGCAACATGTCAGCAGGATATGCCAGCATGACTGGAATGTGACCACTATATAATAAATATCTATTTAACACCCTGTGTTAAAAATAGGTATTTTTAAAGGATATGCCAAGATCACATTAAGAGTTCCATCATAAGCTGAACAATAAAATTAATTCAAAGTCTCAGGTACAACAGGGGCTGTTTTATGGTCTACATTGTTTCCTATTTTTTGTGGAAGTTCTGCAGTATCTTCCAGGAAAAGGCACAACTTTTTAAGATAAACGAGGATTTATGTATACATACATGTGGGCACACACACATACACATCTAAACTGCAAAACTGTCACCAGGATGGTTTGGAAAACCAGAAACTACATGAGCCTAAAATAAAAAAAAAAAAAAAAAGACAGAATGAGGCCCACATCCATCCAAGGTTACTAATTACAAAGATCTCTAAGTACAAGGTCTCTAATGTCTTGGAGAATCTAAAAAGCAGAAAAGGTGTCATGAGGTCTGGAGAAGAAAGGAGATGGAGAATGAGAACATCCCTCTGTATTTGCCCTGCTGTCATACTGTTCCTTTCCAACATCATCTACACAGGATCACTGAATTGTTTTGGTTGGAAAAGACCTTTAAGATCATCCAGTCCAATCATTATCCCAGCCTTGCCAAGGCCACTCCTGACCCATGTCCCTCAGCACTTCATCTACATGGCTTTGAAATCCCTCCAGGGATGGGGACTCCACCCCTGCCCTGGGCAGCCTGGGCCAGCACCTGACAACCCTTCTGGGGAAGAGATTGTTCCCAAGATCCAATCTAAACCTCCCCTGACACAACATGAGTCCATTTCCCCTTGTCCTGTCACTTATTCCTTGGGAGAGGAGACTGACCCCTCCCCTGGCTCCAACCTCCTCTCAGGCAGTTCCAGAGCCAGAAGGTCTCCCCGCAGCCTCCTTTGCTCCAGGCTGGACACCCCCAGCTCCCTCAGCTGCTCCTGCTCAGACTTGTGCTCCAACCCCTTCCCCAGCTCCACTGCCCTTCTCTGGACACGATCCAGCCCCTCAATGTCCTTCTTGTGGTGAAGGGCTCAAAACTGACCCCAGGATTCATGCCAGGGCTAGAGAGGAATGAGGACTACACTGTCCTCTGGCCCCACTCAAACAGCTGGTCCCAGAACAATCTGCCCAACAGCATCTGTTAGGATGGCTTCATCACCCACCACTGTAAGAACCAAAGGAAAAAGGGAAGTAGAGCTCATCTGCATTTCCTCAAATACTACAGAGAAGATGGTGAGCAAGACTCACAGGATTTACTCTCAGGAAGGAAGAGATAGAAGTGGACATGTCCTTTGATAACAGTCCTGGGAATCTCTGGGGTGGAAATTACTGCCCTGGCAGAAGTCACATCTGTTGGGAGGGCTGAAATTTCCATTTTCTGTTGTAACATTTTTATGTTGCTGTGACAGAAGCTTCATCCTCCTGTGACTGCACACAGTGATAGTCAATTTTTAATCAAGTCCTGGTTACCAAGACTTATGCAAGGATTACTAGGAAGGGAAGCTCAGCTACAAGAATCATGTCTAAATAGTAGCTGAATATTCTACTACCAAAGTCCAAGTCAGCCTCCAAAGTACTGCAGGAGCACAGGGACAAGCCCCAGGATTCTTGCTGAGGCAGGAGACAGGCAGAAACCACACACATGCAATCACAGCAGCACAACGAGCAACGGCTCTGACACACACCATGTTGTTCAAAGCAGCAGAAACAGGTGGAAATAATCCAGATGGAACAGGAAAGAGTTTTTCCTGAAGTGCTTCACACTTCAGATTGCTGACAATATTGTCCTCCACATAAACCCAAGATTTTCTTAGAAATCTAGCATCCCACAAGGTCAAATGCAGCCACTGGAACTCTGGGTAGAGAATCTGCAATTTGTAATCCCCAAAAGACAAGTACACCATGACAGTCACAACCAAACTGATGCAATGAGATCTGGCCTTGTTCTTCTGGATCTTCTGACTCCTTCCAACTAATTTCAGACATGGAATGTGCTAGCAGGACCAAGCAGCCAGACATGCAGTTCACAAAGAATGCGTTACCAGCCACTGCACTACCTTCACATTCCTTGAGCAAATAACCTGTCTAAAAGATTTAACAGCAGTGCTGCCAAAGTAAGTGCTGATACTTTTCAGAGATCTAGCACAGTATGCCCATCATCATCAGCTCAGGAAGTTCAGACACTTCATTTTCCACAAGGCATGAAGTGTAATGAATATCATGACATATGCACCACTGATAGACTTTCAGTCCCCATGGCACAAAGACTGTCTCTCACTGGGTGTTGCCTTGTCTGGAAGTACCACACCAATTTTTCCTTTCAGGGAACATTAGAATGAACTAACTGCCCAGCTGTCAAACAGGAGAAAGAGCCTGAAAGTTCAGGTTGTTCAACTTATTACATTCAGTAAAAGTGAGTCTCCCAGTAAAGATGGCTCTCTTGGGAAGACAAAAAGATTGTTTCCATTTTTAAGGCTTATGGAACACTAGCATCTATCTTCAGTCACTCAATTTTGTTGCAAAACCGTAGAGCAACACTTACCTGGTTTGTCTTTTGCCATTAAGAAGCTGCTGTGCAACTGAGGCACATTTGTCTGCATCCTGTGTCACCAATCTGAGGTGTCTCAGAAGATCATTGTCTGGAAACTTTTTGATTTCTGATTCTTCTATCAAAGCCTTAAAACTGATGAGACCTTTTGGGAAAGACAGTAAGTTAGCAAAAGTCCCCCTTTCTGATGGATTTTCAATGGTAAGGCTGAATAACACATTTAAATGCATTTCTATTTCAACTTGAGTTATATTTTGTGTCAAAGTGATTTGCAGTCTTCTCACACAGAGACAGCCTAGCAGAATCTCTGGGATTATTGCAGCTAAAACATTTACTTTAAAACTTGAATCCTAGAATAGAAATCATAAATTATTTCTTTGGGTTGTCATGTAAGCATGAGACAAAAGCTACTAAGGTTCAGAAACTCAAAACTGAGAAGCTAGCCATTTAAAATGACATATTGCAGACAAAAGATAAGGCACTCACTTCTTTTATTGTTAATTTTTGCCTCCAGAGCTTCATTAACAGTGGAAGCCCATTCGTTGTAGGACTCCGCGCGCATCTTGAGGGCGTTCATCATGGGATACAGCTCCTCCAGGGTGTAGCGGTACCTGCAGGGAGCACAGAAACCAAACTCCTCAGCAAAAACTGGGGGGGGAGGAGCATCAGGATTTACTGGTCCATACAACAAATTATTACATAGTGAGGAATTATCTACTGTGCCCCCAGGGGTGTGTGATTAAGGCCTACAACCATACCAGGTTCTCCTCCAAGATAACAAACATTGGAATCACTTCTATGATTGAAGCAATTGTGAGATTATGTAGGACAAAACATAGCAAACAACAGGAAAGGAAAGATAGCAACAGGAAGGAAAGCTAACAAAGCAAATAAATATTCCTCAGCAATGACTGGATGTAAGGGGTGATGACCTTCTTGCTATAAATAAAAAAGCAAACAAACTTATTCAGTAATTTTTGCCTTTATAGAGCAAGAAGAGTTGAATGCTGGAAAGAAAGAGTCTTTGTCTACAAGGACAAAAAGGGGACATTGTTTTGGGGTACAGTATTTGCAAAGGACTGAGAGAAACAGAACACAGGCACCAGCACCACTGACAAAGCAGATCAGGCGCGAAATTATCAGGCTGCAACAGCTACACATACGATAAACACCTTCAGAACACAGTATTATTTGCTACCTAAAGCTTACCCCAGTTTGTATTTGAAGGTAGGACAGGAACAGAGTTCCTCAACATGATACAAGCACGCCAATAATCCAGGTTTACATGGACAATAAACAGCAGACATGAAACAGGTGGTTTTACACTTCAAGCACTGTCGCTCATCGTCAGGAAACAGCTCAAAAGACACTCTCTCTGAGTCGGTCACTCCCTGCAAAAGAAGGTTACATCACTTCAACGTCTAATGAAGAGGTGATTACTCCAAGCTAAAACATCATAAGCTAAATCTATCAAAGGGATAATAACTTGAGAAATAAGATCTTAAAACCAGGTAGACAGATCGCTTGGTTAGTGCAAAATCAGCTATAATGAACAAATTATTGAAAGAACAGATATTACTTTAAAAGAGACATTCTGAACAATATTAATAGGCAGATGCTAAAGCCAGATACACAATAAGTGATCCTTTGGAGTACCCAAGTGGCCCACTGAAACCCAGACTGCTGCTCAGGAAGGTTCCCAGCAACTCTAAGCCACTGCCAACACAGAACAAGTCCCTGCACGTCTCCACACCACCGTTCCAACCGCCCCTTTGCTCAGTACAGCACCATTCCCTCCAACTCACCAGTTTATCCACCTTCTCACGCAATTTCTTCTCTTCCTCAATCATAATAGCCATGTCTTTCTGAACCGTAGATGCTACCACAACATCAAGATCATCTGCTTTGGAAGCCATTTTACAGATCATCTCATCGTGGGAAAACACGCAGTAGCGGCTCAGCAGCCGGTAATGCTCCACGCACTGGCGGCCCAGGGGCAGCTGCAGGGAAACCAGGGAATCAAGGCAGAGCTCATTCAGAAAATTACATGAAGATATTGATATTTTTTTTTATGCTAATAACAAAAAACTATCCAAAAATTACAAGTCCAGCTGGAGCTCAATCTAGCCACTACCAGCAAAGACAATTAAAAAAGGCTTTACTAATATATGAACAGCAAAAAGAAAACGAGGGAGAATCTCCATCCCTTATTGGATATGGGGGGGGAATATGGCAAACAGGGATGAAGAAAAGGCTGAGATATTAATGCCTTCTGGTTGGAAGCTCCATGGCAGAGAAAGACCTGAGGGTGTTGGCTGACAGTCGACCCAACATGAGCCAGCAGTGTGCCCAGGTGGTCAAGAAGGCCAATGGCATCCTGGCCTGCATCAGGAATAGTGTTGCCACGTGGAGTAGAGAGGGGATCAAACCCCTGTACTCAGCACTGGTGAGGCTGCACCTCGAGTACTGGGGTCAGTTCTGGGCCCTTCACTACTAGAAGGATGTTGAGTTGCTGGAGCATGTCCAAAGAACAGTCACCATGCTGGTGAAAGGTCTGGAGAATAAGTCCTATGAGGAGAGGCTGAGGGAACTGGGATTGTTTAGTTTGGAGAAGAGGAGGCTGAGGGGAGACCTCATTGCTCTCTACAGCTCCCTGAAAGGAGGTTGTAGGGAGGTGGGAGTTGGGCTCTTCTCCCAAGTGAATAATGACAGGACCAGAGAAATGGCCTGAAGCTGCACCAGGGGAGGGTTAGATTGAACGTTAGGAAGAATTTCTTTACCCAAAGAGTGGTTGGACACTGGAACAGGCTGCCCAGGGAGGTGATGGAGTCACCATCCCTGGAAGTGTTTAAAAAAAATACAGATAATAGTGCTTAGAGACACAATTTAAGCACTGAACAAGTAAATCAGGTTATGGTGGGGAGAGGCTGGGTTATGTTTGGACTTGATGATCTTCAAGGTCCCTTCCAAGAGGGCAATTCTAGGATTTGATAGAAGGCCAAGACAAACCCTTCTAGCAACAATGTTCTGATTTCAGAATGTAAAACTAGATCAATCAAGGAACTCAGTTCTTAGAAACCAGGATAGCTCCTTTACAGCAGATACAGCTTTTCCCTCCTGAACCCAGGTAAAAAACTTGCATTCACTACTTGGAAGAGACCATTATTAGGGGCAATTCAATCAATAAACCAAGTGATCCAAGCTAAAACTACACAGAGGCTGGGAAAGTGTCACAGGGAAGCACAGGGATGTCCTGGCACAGGCAGGTTGCTGAGCATGTTGGACCTTCTCAAGGCATGTGGCTGTTTTATGCAGGACATGAACTGTTGCAGCAGGAGAAACTTACTGACTCCCTGATGCACTGAAGTCCCTCACTGACCCCAGGCAGAGGAAACAATTAATTATGAGCTGGGCAGGTTAATCAAAGGTTTATTTTAGAAGTGTTGCTCCCCAGACAGATAGTGATGATCAGGTTACAATTAAGTGACATGTCAGAGTTGGGTATGAAACTCTTGGCAGGACAAGAGGAAAAACAAACCAAAACAACTGATACATGAACAAAGTCACAAAGCAGAAAGCTTTCTTCCTGTTTTGGTCATCTCCTACTTCTAAGTGATGGGGTTTTTTAAGACTAGGAACATTTTTAGATGGGCTACATTTACAAATAGCCGAGAACTTCTTTTGGGGAAAAAAATAATGACAAAAGGAGCAATTTTCTTTTACAAGAAAGGAAAAAGAGGACTTTTGACAAGGGCTGGTAGTGACAGGACAAGGGGGAATGGATTAAAACTGGAAGAGGGGAGATTTAGATTAGACATTAGGAAGAAATTCTTTCCTTTGAGGGTGGTAAGACTTTGGCCCAGGTTGCCCAGAGAAACTGTGGCTGCCCCATCCCTGGCAGTGTTGAAGGGCAGGTTGGATGGGGCTTGGAGCAACCTGGGCTGGTGGGAGGTGTCCCTGCCCATGCAGGGGGGTTGAAACTAGATGATCTTTAAGGTCCCTTCCAACCCAAACCAGTCTGGCATGTTACATTTCTATGATCATTTGAAATACCAGTAGCTTCAAAGTATCTTTCTGAGATGAGGCAACACCGTGTGTCTGCAATCTGCTGGGGAGGAGAGATTTTGAAGCAACCATCCTCCATTTGTTTTCATTTTAAGAAGACAAAAAACTTCATAAATTATTATGACTTAATAATTGTTATGTGTGGCTGTCTCTGTTGTTTCAATGGGCTGAGTGAAGCTCACTGGGAATAAAGTACTGGTCTGTAAACCTTCTGTTTGAACACTAAGACTTTCTGCTCCCTTCTCATTAAGATAATCTTCCCTAAAAACCTCCACCCCCTCTCCTACCCAAAAGGATGGACTAACATCAGATGCAATTCTTATTATCTTTTCCCCAAGAGGACTATCTAAGTCTGTAATTGTTCTTAATGCCTGTTACATTTATTATTTGATTTAATCACAGAAGCTATAGTAGAAAAGGAGTCCAAGCCAGCTTTGCTCTTCACTGTAGAAAGCACCTCTTGGAGAACTCCAGTGTAATAAACACAAGAATTTTTTTCTGGCTCTTGACAATTGGAATGAAATTTGGGAACAGAAAAGGAGCAGATTTAGCAGCACTGGTGCTTCTCCTTCTGAGCATGCACAGAGCCTTGCCTACCTCTGGCTGTAAAAGATGTATCAGCCCTAATATATCATTTCAAACTGAACCTCAGGGACCAGAGAAAGCCCCACAGTTCATTACATAAAAGAAACAGAATCACAGAATGCCTTGGGTTGGAAGGGACCTCTAAAGGTCATCTAGTCCAACCCCCCACAGTAAGCTGGGACATCTCGCACTAGACCAGGTTCCTCAGAGTCCCATCAAGTCTGACCTTCAGTGTCTCCAGGCATGGGGCCCCCACCACCTCTCTAGGCAACCTGTTCCAGTGATCCACCACCCTCATATTAAATAGCTTTTTCCTCGTGTCCAATCTCAATCTACCCTTTTCTACCTTAAAACCATCACCTCTTGCCCTATCATTACATGCCCTGAGAACAGCTCTTCCCCAGCCTCCTTACAGGCTCCTTTCCGGTACTGGAAGGTCATTATAAGGTCCCCCTGGAATCTTCTCTTCTTCAGGCTGAACAACCCCAGCTCCTTCAGCCTGTCTCCATAAGAGAGCTGCTCTAGCCCCCCAGTCACTTTTGTTGCCCTCCTCTGGACACGCTCCAACAGGTCCACATCCTTCTTGTGCTGAGGGCTCCAGAGCTGGACACAGTACTCCAGGTGAGGTCTCATTAGGACAGAGTAGAGGAGCAGAATCACCTCTTGACCTGCTGGCCACACTGCTTTTGATGCAGCCCAGGATGTGCTTGGCCTTGTGGACTGCAATTGCACATTGGTGGCTCATGTCCAGCTTTTCATCCACTAGTACCCCCAGGTCTGTTTCCACAGGGCTGCTCTCCAGCATGTCACCCCTGCACATGGCCTTGTTGAACCTCATGAGGTTTGCCTGGGCCCACTTCTCCAGCTTGTCCAGGTCCCCCTAAATGGCACCCTCTGGAGTATCAAGTGCACCACCCAGCTTCGTACCATGGGCAAACTTGCTGAGGGTGCTCCAAATGCCACTGTCAATATCATTAATAAAGATATTAAACAGCACTGGTTCCAATACTGACCCCTGAGGGACACCACTTGTCATCATTTTCTATCTGGACATTAAGCCAAACCATCAGCAAGACATTGTGCTTCCAGCAACAGGCTCCTCCTGATCTGTGGACCCAAGCTGTGCTTTAGCAGGACATCAGAGCTGCAGATCAGGTAGGAGCAATGTTGGGTGAGCCACACTTTACAAAACACTATTCTTGGCACATACCCAATCAACTGTGCAGAAGTTCACAGCTTCAGCAAAATTGAACCCCTGATTGAAGCCACTGTGATAAGCTCTTGGAAAGGTGATCACAAACTCTCCAGCACACTGATTGGTTCGATAGACCTAGGAGAAAAGACAGACAAGCATTAGGTCAGACCTAAACAGAGCTGAAGGCTCTGAAGATGAATTTCCAGTTCCTAGTCACTTCTGTCATGACTTTGGATAGTCGCAAAACATAAGCCCAAGAATGACAAGTGGCATTTGGTAACTTGTCCCTAGAAAGCAGAGAGGTTTCAATCAGCCAGACCTGCACTTGAAGGCATTTTAAGCCAGCTGTCTGTGCCCTTTGCTGTGCACACTCACCCAGGGGAAGCACAGACAAGGCTCTTTTCAGCCTGGAGCTGAAGGGGAAGACAGATTTGGAACCTACTCCAAAGTTCCTACTGCTGTAAATCTAATGCTGTTTGTGCTGGATCACCAGCATGAGAGCAGGCACATCCTCCTGCAACTTTCCATTTTGGAGTCTCTCACACCACAAATTTTGCCACTTCTTCCCAATTTTCCTTTCAGTCTCAAGGTCAGCTAGTCAAAAGCTAATTGAGTTGTAAAGGGACATAATTCCCATGAAAAATCTAGTATGGAATATGATGGAAAGTGATGAAAAAACATTTTTAAATATCTAAGAACTTCTCTGGGAAAAATAAGAGGATGTGGATGACAAAGGAAGAATGGGGTTTGACCCCTTGCCAGAAATTCCATGACCAAAAAAAAAATGGTGTCTGATTAGACAGACACAGGAAGAGCTCTTGTCCTGTTTCAAAGGTCAAGACTAAACTTCCCAGCTGAAATACAGGAATAGGAATATTCTAAGATGGATCTCCAGAGAAGACTTTGCCAAGGAATTGCAACAGCAATGACTCCATTGCCCATCTGTTCACACTGGCACATTATAGTAGAGAAGGAAGATACAACACACATGAAAACTACCCCACCATCTCTGTAATAAAAGTGGTTTCAATTACTAGCTTTGAAGTAGAAATTAGTGCAAATGAAAGAGGGTTGGGTTTGGGGGAGTAGCACAGGAGTCCAACAACATACAGGCACTCCGTGGGCCATCAAAGTATTCGGGTTCATTATGGTGACAAGTTGGTGCAAGAGATCTGGCTGAGATTCAAATAGCTCTGGAGCAAGCTTCTTCATTACATCCTCCAGCTGTTCAGCTGCATACCCTGGGGCTCCATACCACGTTTTAGGCTCCCCCCTGCAAGATTATTAAAAAAAGTTAAATATAAGCAAGCTTGTAAGTTACATTTTCAGTCTTCCGCTTTAAAATACACCATGTCAAAAGAAGGGTCTATCACCAGGAAGGGATGCAGAGGTGATGTACCTTCCTGAACCTTGACAGCTTACACATGGCCCTCCTCCAGACCTCAGTTTTTAACTGCCTGCATTTCTGAGCACATATTTAAAATATTCTGGGAGAAAAATAAAAAGACTGAAGAAGTCCTCAGTGAAGTTCTGCTGATTCCAGCACCACTTCAAAACATAAGCTGTTTGTCTTTTACCATGAACACAAACTCCCTCTTGGATCAAACAACCAAAGACACTTCTTTCTGCCTTGTGCATAATTGCATAAAAGCAACATGTAGTAAGTAGAAATTAAACTCTCAAATGATGCAAAAGACTTTTGAGGAAAAAAAAAATCCACATCCAGAGTAAGAACAAGGAACTTTTAGCAACAGCTGAACACAATTCAAGCCAGCTGAGAAAATTAAGATTACATAGATGTGTTCCAGTAGATACTGGTTCAGGTTCACAGTGGAGCTGGCTTCCTGCAGCACAAAGATGACAATGCCTTCCAATCCCTCATCAAGAACAATGCCAGAAAAGGTTTTCAGAAAAAAGGATAACAGGCAAGTCACCTTCTCCCAAGACTCTTGAAGAGCTGGCAGAGTAAAGCTGACCCAACAGTTCTTTTTTTTCATAAATCAAGAAGTAATTAGGAAGATTACAGAAGAGAGTGAATCCAGAAGCATCTCTCTAACACCTAGGAGTTTATTCCTGTCCTCAGACAGCAGTTCTGTTGTGGTGAAGAGGACAAGGAGCAAGAGGGGCTGTGGAAGGGCAGTTACACTGGTACCACAGAGAATAGCACGAGTCATCACTGTGCAGTATGGAATGACTGTGCAGCCTGGCCATCACCTTGGAACAACTCTATGAATTCATGATGACCACTCACAACTAAAAACTGTCCTGTGTCCTGACCCAACACTGGGTCAGTCAAGAATTCTGCTCTTTGGTGTGTGTCAGTGCCAGGAAGGGGTGGCAGCAGTTCTGAACTATACTAAACTTGGACAGGGATACTGGTACCAAGGGTCTCTAGACTTCAGGAGAGCAGATATGGAGAATGACAAGATTCTAAGGAATGTGGTAAGGTGCCAGCCCTGTGAGGGCAGCAGCCTGCAGAATAGGTGAAGGTGACAGCTCTTTCTACACTGCTGCCTGACAGCTTCACATCCCTGCTTTTAAAAATACCAACATCAGTGATGGCAATTCATCCTCTGACCAGGATCTTAATTATTTCTTTGGAAGCATCTTCAGAAGCAAATATTTGTTTTTTCTCCCTCTACCACCTCAAGAACCAACACAGGACAGGGTCATGCAGCAGAACTATTGCCTTCAACCCGACAAAGGTTCTGCTGCTGTAGCCTGGCTCACTTGGGACTGCCTGCTCAAAATACTGTCCCAGGAGACAAGGTCCTCCAAGGTTTGCGGGAACCCTGAAGATGGACACTCCCAGTGTTCCACAAGAGTAAGTCCTGCCTTCTGAAATCTTTCCACAGTTTAGAGCTTTGGCTCTTCAGTGGCAGGTTGTGAAGACTGAATCTTCTGCTCAAGAACAGTATTGACATCAACTACAAACTGCTCTTAAATAGGCTAAATCCCCCAGACTTAAACCTCTTAGTGGAAGGGAAATACAGAAGAATATCTACAAATGAAAAGACATGAAGAACTTTCATACTAAAAAAAAAATTAATTAAAAGCAGGCAGAGCAACTTGCACACCTGTCTGTGAATGTACATGTGTGTGCACAGAAACATTATCATTATCTGGCCTTGCCTGCAACCACAGATGCAGTTCAGGAAAAGCTATGGAGCCACCATGCCATTCTGACAACAGTGAGGGAAGCTCTCCTTGAAGGAATGAAGTTTCTACTGCAAACAAAACATCTCCTACCCAGTTTTCAGACCAAAAAAAAAAAAAAAAAGAAAAAAATTACAAGAAGCACAATTTTTACAGGAGAATCCTGATCACTCATTTAATTACCCTCACTCAAATATTTGTTTTAACATACTTAAGTGCTAATAAAGCAAGCAAATTAAGTCACTGACTACTTGGCCTGTGCTACAGCAGGAGCTGTTTTAAGGAGCAGCCACTGAATAACCAAAGACATGTTCTACTGGGATGTGACTTTACCACATTGCTGGAATACTTCTGTGAACAAGGAAAGGGAAAAGGCTTGACAGATTTCAAGAATAACGCAAACTCCAGAAAAGCTGTTGGAAGGTGAGAAGTTTAAATCCAATCTATTTAGAATATTACAGAGATGGCAAAGATCTGTCCTGATTACAGTTGATAATTGTCTGCTTGATGAGAAGATTTATGATAGAATGGTCTTTCTAACAGAGAAAAAAAATATGCAGGATCCTAAGGTTGTTAGTTGAAGCTAGATGATTTTTTAAAAAAAATAATTTGCATGGTTTTTAGTTTTACATTGAGCATAATAAAACATTTGATGGAGTATCTGCTGCAGCTCTCATGGATTTTTTAGAACTGGGAATGGATGTCTCTTTCCAAAAGCAAATCAATGCAGGAATCACACTGTGTCAAATGAAAACCCTGCTGATACAGGACTGCAGGGGTCACTCTGGCCTGAACTCTATGGATCTGGCTTTAGTCCACTAATTAAAAAGGGGAAGGGGGAATGAAAGGGAGGTTGTTTCTCAGGCTGAGTTTATTCTCAAACTCACCAGTGCAGATAGTTAATGGAATAGCTCCAGTGGTCTTCTATATGCCAACAGAATGAAGAAAAGCACATTCCTACATAGAGCCAGGGCAGTTTCATTCCACATATGTCTGCAGTGATGTGAGCAAGAACAGATTGCTCCATCACAGGCATGTTGTTTAAATTCCAGCCACTATCAAGGTATTCCTGAAAATTGAACAGAACAATCACAGGTTTCTACAACATGAAGTAAAAATTCCAAGAAGATAAAAGTGCCAGAAGAGCAATAGAAGAAAGGCATGTTTCCCCAACTGAAAAAGTATAAGAAGCAGGTCAATTAATCAAACAACAAAAGCTCCATTGTCCTTGCTCCTTTCACAAACCTTATCTGACCTGCTTTGTTAAAATGAGATTTTTGTTTGTCTGTTTGGAAGTTGTTTATTAACTTCTAGGATAAACCTGTGGCTTTCCATGTCTGATCACAGAAAACTTTATTCAAAACTCTAATGTAATTGTCCTCTTCAAATACTGTGCCAGATGCACAAAACAAACAATTTGCAATCCAGTTCCATTGTCTTGCTTTGTACCAAAGAGACTTACTCAATGAAGAACTGCAGTGGAAACATACACAATATGAGACCTACCTCTTCTTCTGGTCTAACTTTAAATTTCCCACCCCTAACTGGGAAGCCACTTCCAAATTCCTTTGAAGCAATATCAGCTCCATATTCTACTGTCACATCCTCTTCAATGGTACTAACAAGTCTCCAGAATTCTTTTTCAACCAGCTCAGTGGGGACCATCTAGGTATGAGAAGACAACAAGGTGCATTCAGTATATGAAAAGCATGTGCATTAAAGCTCCTCCCAGGGAGGAGCCTCCAGTAGCTCAAACCATTTCCGTCTTTCAAAATCATTTCAACAAGAGAAAAAAATAATGCAATGTTCTCAGGAACAGGCGATAGAGACATTTCTTCAAAAATGAAACGAAAAAAACCCCACAAAACAAACCAAGAAACCAGCAGAACAAGGAATCATGACACCAGAAAGAACAAGGATTGAGGATGAGCCTCTGATTTGGGGATTTAAACCATTTAAAACTGGAATTCCCCCCTCCCTCTCAAAATGTATGTATTTTAATTAAGCACACACACAAAAAATGAAATCTACATTCTGACATCAGGATAAGTGCAAGAACATACATGTACGGGCATGTTAAAATAGTCTGACTTGAATGCATCGGCCATTTCTCCGAACGTGCGCAGTGTATAATCTCTTGCTGCTTGTTCAAAACCAAATGCTTCTTGAGGCTTATTACACTCCTGTAATTAAAAGAGAATTGTTTCTATAATGTATTAATAAGACCATATGTGCTCAGATTTCACCTAAATGGGCTATGACTGCAGCATCTGATGGGTAAGAACACAGGACACCTGACCAAAATGAAATGGTCACCTCAAGTTGCACAGAGTCAGAAGAACTTACTTTGCTTAATTCTCGAAACCACAATCCTAATTTATTTATAAATCTGCATAAATATTAATTAACATGACCAATTTCTCTTTCCTCTAGTAGAGCTAAGTGGAAAAAAATGCATAAGCCTCCACACTGAAGCACCCAGCTTAAGCAACCACTTTAAATACAGAGGAAAGGTGCTAATTAAAACTCAATGTATTCAATTTTTGCCTCCGAAATATTCAAGCAACAGCTTTCCAGTCTGAAGCATGCCCAGTCTTCATTTTAGCTTTATCTTTTATCACCTTGTTTGCACAACCTGAACTAAGAAACAAATGGTACTTTCAATCCTTACAATCATTTTTTTTAAAAACCCCACAAAATTAAAAATAATCTTCAGCTTAACTTGTATGTTTTCTTGCGTTACCTGAGCCAGACACTGGGGACACCTCCAGTCTCCTTTGGGAACATCGTGAAGGGGTGGAATCAAACAAAAAGTGTGGTAACTGTCATCACAGCCATCACACAGCAGGAGTCGGTCCTCATCGTTCCCACTGCCACACAGGAGACACACGTACAGATCCACCTGTAACAAACAATTGCCAGAGTGGGAATTGGAGCACTTCAGGAAACTCCTGGTGAAAGAGCAGTTTGGTAACTCAGTTGTTTGTGACATTGGCCAAAGCTTATTTTCACCTCATCTCTGAAATGGAAATGAGACAAGCAAACATATAATATTTGTATACACGTTTAAATAATCCCACTTTGTCACTTAAGGAAGGACCACTAGAGTTGCAAGCCTCTCCATGTATATTTTTCCCAAAAGACAGGTTTGATTCCCTGGCCAGGACAGTTTACATCAGCAGCAC